TCCTGAGAATTTTTACATCCATGTTCATCAGGGATACTGCTATGTAATTCTCCTTTTTAGTGAGGTCTTTGTCTGGTTTTGGAATCAAGGTAATGCTGACCTCAGAAGGTCACAGTGAAAATTTCTTCCACGAAATCAATAACAAAAAAATGGATAACAGGAATTTTGTATAAAAAGAAATATCAAGGGATTAAACTGTAACATTTATATATTCAAAGATGAAGTTAATGACCTTTAAGAGACCATAACTATAGATAATATGATAATTAGAGCAAACTGGGAATATAATGTGAAGTATTTTCTATAACTATTTGTTAAGAGTCTTTCAGGGGTGCCCAGGTGGCTCAGTTGGTTGAGTGTCTGACTCTTGGTTTCAGCTCAAGTCGTGCTCACAGGGTCATGAGATCAGGCCCCATGTCAGACTCCACACTCAGTATGGAGTCTGCTCGAGCTTCTTTCTCTCTCCCTCTCTCTCCCTCCCCTTCCCCCAACTCACTATATCACTTGCTCTCTTTAAAAAAAAAGTAAATCTTTTATTTTTTAAAGGGTCTTTCAAGGACCTACTGAGTAACCAGATACTGAATGTAAAAGAGTACATACTCTGTGATTCCATTTAGCTCTGAAATTCTAGAAGAAGGAAAATTAATCTGTAATGATAAAAATCAGATCAGTGATTGGAAGTGGTGATTAACTGCAAAGGGCTACAAGGGTGCTTTCCAGGTAAATGGAAATGTTTTATGTCTTGATTAGGGTTGTGATTAACACACTGGGTGTGGTGTGTTCATTTGTCCAAACTCTGACCTATACACACAATATGGGTGCTTTTTTAAATGTAAATTATGTCTCCTTTTTCAAAAAAAAAAAAAAAAGGTTTTGAAAGCCTAAAATAATTTTTCCTGAGGACTTTTGTGTTATAAGACACAAGTATGTGGGGTTTTTTGTTTAATAGTTTGTGAACCATAAATTGTAAAATACAGTGATCTAATTATTGGTGTCTCTTTTTCTGAGCATTTTTAAAGCAAAAGTAGAATGCTAACTACTGGGAAGATGATGATGTGGTATTGTCCAGGGAATAGTAACTGGCCTAGGAAGAATGTGGCTTCTAAACACACTTCAAGAAACACTGCTGTAGGGGATCCCTGGGTGGCTCAGTGGTTTAGCGCCTGCCTTTGGCCCAGGGCGCGATCCTGGAGTCCCGGGATCGAGTCCCGCGTCAGGCTCCTGGCATGGAGCCTGCTTCTCCCTCCTCCTGTGTCTCTGCCTCTCTCTCTCTCTCTCTCTCTCTCTCTCTCTCTCTCTCTCTGTCTATCATAAATAATAAATAAATATTAAAAAAAAAGAAAAGAAACACTGCTGTAGCCTTTCTGGCTGTGGTGTGTTATGTTTAACTCAGGTCTTCTATGCAGCCAAATATCGTACTCTGTCCCTTTTGTATAGCAATGTGAAATCCCATTGCCCATAAAATATTCAGATCTTCCCATCTCTTTCTTTACTTTTTTTAAATAACCTAATTAGATTATTCAAAATTTAGGCTAAGACTAGAGATTTCATAAGGAAGTAAAAGGTTTTTATGTGAATGAAGTCAGAAATGCCAAGTAAGATCCAGCAGTACACTGTATGTTCTGTTTTTCTTCTTTACTTCCACAGGAGCAGTTCCTAAATAATTTTTACATTTGTAATACTTATATAACAAAGTATGCTTATTACTAGGACGTTAATGGTGGCTCTCTTTTTATTTTATATTTTTAAAGGTTTATTCATTTATTTTAGAAAGTGACTAAGTGGGGGAGGAGTAGCAAAGGGAAAGTGAGAGAATCTCAAGCAGACTCCTTGCTAAGCATGGAACCCAACATGGGGCTCAGTCTCCTGACCCTAAGATCATGACCTGAGCTGAAATCAAGAGTCAGCTGCTTAAACATCTGAGTCACCCAGGCATTCCGATAGCGGCTCTCTTTTTAAAGATGACCTTATTTTAAAAGATTATTAATACTCATGCTGAAAAGATATTATGATGAAAATATTATAAAACTAAAGTGTCACTAGACTAGGATTAACATCTTAGAATAATATACCAACTATTTAGACTTTTGGACCAACATTTCGGTTGTAGCTAAGCAATTTCATTTATCAAAAGAAAAGGAGAAAATTCCTAAAATGTATTTTGCATCAACATATCCTCTGCCAGCCCTACCCGTAATAGGTTGTAAGGCCCTGCCAAGAAGAGAGAACTCAAAAGAAAGTCTCAACATCCAGGTCTCAGGAGTACTGAGGTAGATGTCTCTTCCCTCCAATGACACCCCTGCCTATAATAATACTCTGCTTAAAAAAAAAAAAAAAAAAAAAAAAAAAAATAATACTCTGCTTGTCTGTGTACCTGTTCAGAATTCCTCAAGTTTGTTGGTGGTGCCACCCAGTGCAAGGACTCCTGAAGGGCAACATTCTCACACCACTGACACACTCCTTACTGGCCTATGTTGATGGCTGCCTTTAGCCAGAATAAGTTGCCAGTTCCTGCCTCTGGGGATCAGGTTGGCAGGCCACTTGACACAAAGGTTGGCAGTGTGTGCAGAGGAGCTCCCTGGGAAAGGAGGATTTGGTGAAATCCTCACCAGAGACTTGATCTTTGTTAGGGCTTCTTTTATGTTCTTTTATTCAATGTCACCCCTCCTCTTGTCCCTGCCAAAATGTGCATAAACACACACAAACGGACTAAAACCTTAGTATTTTGTCCTAACTCTTAGAGTTTTATCTGAGTAAAAAAACACTTGCAGAAAATGGCTAAAGGCTCTAAACTAAATATTACCCACAACTTCTGTTTGAAAGTTCTCAGAGAAGAGTTTCCATGGGAGGCAATTGTCCTTTCCATTCATGGAATTTGAACTGTGTGGTGATCTGTAAGTATCACCAAACAAATTAATAGAAATAGCCCCGTTTTTAACATTTAAACAATATTTACTGTTTTCTGCTTATAAAAACAGCACATGAGAAAGACCATAGAGTATATAGGCTGTGGGTGCACTGGCTTTGGAGTTGGAGAAGGCATAGCTCCTGTACATACTTGGTCAGTCATGAGTATGTGACCAAAACTATCTAAGCTTTGGTGGCCTTATCTACAAAATGGGAGATATTATGGTACCTATTTATAGAGGTATTTTGTGAAGATAAAATAAACCCAGTAAAATGTTTAGAACAGGGCCTAACTTAATAAAGGGAGCTTAAAAAAAAAAAGGAAAAAAATCAAAATGAGTAAACCACAAGCCACTGTTAACATTTTGACACGTTGGCTTTTTTCTGCCATACACTCACATACTAGTATGTTCAGCCCTTTCCAAAATTGGGATCATATTTTATATACAATCTATATAGCCTGCTCAATTTTTCCCACATATCTTTTTTTTTTTAAGATTTATTTATTTATTTGAGAGAGAGAGAAAAAGCACTTGAGTAGGGAGAGGGAGAGAATCTCTTGCAGACTACCCACTGAGTGCAGAACCTGACTCAGAGTTCAATCCCATGGCCCCAAGATTATGACTTGAGCCAAAATCAAGAGCCAAATACTTAACCAAGCCACACAGGTGCCCTGTACCTTACTACTTTTACTTATTAATTTCCAGCTTCTAATAACTTATACCAAGAAGTCAGCAGCTGCAAAGGACAACTGCATCCCATGGAAACTCTTCTCTGAGAACTTCCAAACATAAGTAATGGGCAATATTTAGTTTAGAACCTTTAGCCATTTTCTGCAAGTGCTTTTTTTTTTTTTTTAAAGATTGTATTTATTTATTCATGAGAGACAGACACAGAGAGAGAGAGAGACAGAGACACAGGCAGAGAGAGAAGCAGGCTCCATGCAGGAAGCCTGATGTGGGACTTGATCCCGGGTCTCCAGGATTACACCCTGAGCTGAAGGCGGCGCTAAACTGCTGAGCCACTCGGGCTGCCCTGCAAGTGCTTTTTTACTCAGATACATAAAATTTCCTTTTTCATACACCCAGGCACCCCACCCACATATCTTTATATTTCCCTTGACAGTAAAATTTACAGAAACATGTTCATGACCTCATGGTACTATAACATTGATTCAACATAATTAATCTTTACCTCCTTGTGAGGTATCTGTTGTTTCTAATATTTTACCATTATTAATATTGTTCCTTTTTAAAAATAATTTATTTATTTATATGAGAGAGAGAGTCCACAAGCAGGAAGTAGGGGCAGAGGGAGAGGGACAAGCAGATTCCCTGCTAAGCTGCTAAGCACGAAGTCCAACATGGTACTCGATCCCAGGACCCCGAGATCATGACCTAAGCTGAAGTTAGATGCCAACTGACCCAACTGAGCTACCCAGGCACCCCTAAAATTACTGTTTTAAAGGTTACAGAGCTTTTAAAATCTTCAGACTTGGGATCCCTGGGTGGCTCAGCAATTGAGCGCCTGTCTTTGGCCCAGGGTGTGTTCTTGGAGTCCCAGGATGGAGTCCCATATCGGGCTCCCTGCGTGGAGCCTGCTTCTCTCTCTGCCTGTGTCTCTGCCCCCCGCCCCCGTCTATCATGAATAAATAAATAAATAAATAAATAAATAATCTTTAAATAAATAAACAAATAAAATCTTAAGACTTGTTCTGTTTTGGGGGGTGTCGGGTACTTTCAGGTTGAACTTTTTCATATGTTTGATGATGCCTGGCATTGTTTCAGTGAAATATCTTTTTATGAATGAATATAACTTGTAAAGGTTTTTTAGGTAGGCTCTCAAGCTTCTAGAATAGTGCCAGATACATAGTAAGTATTCAGTAAATATTTGTGGCATGATAAATGGATGAATGGAAAGAATATTACCTCTTTATAATATTTGTTTCAGATGGGGTCAAGTCCTTTTTTTTTTTTTTGGTGGGGGGGTCAAGTCTTAATGAAATTGTTGCCTTTGTCTACAAACAAAGATAATGCTATCTTGGTTCTTAGTCTTAACAACCTAATTTTTTTCCATTCTTTTCTACCCCACAGTTCATCCATGAGCTCGGATTTCCCACATTACAACTTCAGGATGCCTAATATTGGATTCCAGAATCTGCCTCTCAACATATATATTGTGGTCTTTGGCACTGCAATATTTGTCTTCATCCTTAGTTTACTCTTCTGTTGCTACTTGATTAGGTAATCAATTTTCATTCTATGTTACTTCAATATATGTTAAACAACCAATTATAAATCAGCTATCTGCCCTTATGTTAAAAAATTATATAAGTGCAAAATTTCTATTTATTTATTTATTTATTTATTTATTTTATTTATTTATTTATGATAGTCACAGAGAGAGAGAGAGAGAGAGAGAGGCAGAGACATAGGCAGAGGGAGAAGCAGACTCCATGCACTGGGAGCCCGATGGGGGATTCGATCCTGGGTCTCCAGGATTGCGCCCTGGGCCAAAGGCAGGCGCCAAACCGCTGCGCCACCCAGGGATCCCCAATTCGTTTATTTATTTAAGCAATCTCTACACCCAGTGTGAGGCTCAAACTCATGACCACAAGATCAAGAGCCACACGCTCCTCTGGGTAAGCCAGCCAGGTACCCCGATAATTAGCAAATTTTCTAAAATTAAGGCTGCTTAACATTTTAACCTCTGTGACTTAGTTACTGATCAGTTAAAACACCTTTATGAAGTCTTCAATCCTATTTGCTGATTAAGTGTTTTACTCTATAGAAGAAAATTGTCCTCATTTATTTTTCTAAAAATTAACACCTGGTCCAGGTACACTTATGAGATTGTCTGTTCCCAAGATTTAATCTACATTCACAGAGATTTCATATCTTTTCTTTCTTTCTTTTTTTTTTAAGATTTTATTTATTTATTCATTAGAGACACAGAGAGAGATAGGCAGAGACACAGGCAGAGGGAGAAGCAGGCTCCATGCAGGGAGCCTGATTCAGGACTTGATCCTGGAACTCCAGGATCACTCCCTGAGCCAAAGGCAGATGCTCAACCGCTGAGCCACCCAGGTGTCCCTTCATGATGTCTTTTCAAGGAAGGTGTTACATCATTGTTAGCTAAAATCATTAGGGATCAGAAAACAATGTCCAAGAAATGATCTAAGCCTTTGAACAGGTTCTCGTGGTCTCTTAAAATTTTAAGCTCTTTTGGTCAGGTGTTCAGGTGATTGATTTTCTATATAAAACATTAAATATTCTACATGAGCCACCCAGGTGTCCCTTCATGATGTCTTTTCAAGGAAGGTGTTGCATCATTGTTAGCTAAAATCATTAGGGATCAGAAAACAATGTCCAAGACATGATCTAAGCCTTTGAACAGGTTCTCGTGGTCTCTTAAAATTTTAAGCTCTTTTGGTCAAGTGTTCAGGTGATTGATTTTCTATATAAAACATTAAATATTCTACATGACACATGTACAGAAAATTGATAAAGGATAGAACCTCACTTGAAGGAGTAATAGATTTGGCCAGTAAAGATTCACAGTTGACTTACTCATAATTGTTTAAGCAAACATCTTCCTCTTTTTGAGTTAAAACTCAAAAAGAAAAATTGGGTCTAATTTTCAAAGCAAAAACTCAGACTATAAAAATTCATATTGTATTGATTGTACTGTATTGTTGAAAGTTTTATGAGTAAAAAATAGAAAGCTGGGTTTTATTAAACAACTGTACCTCTAACAATTTTTGGTGTTCACACAGTATGTGATTATGGTTAAGATAAATACCATCATCACATATCTTTTAGCAATAATTAATTGTTGCCACCAGTGACCACTCAGTGATGGACAAATTTAAATGAATTTAGTGTGTATTTCTGATATTCTGACAAGTGAATGTATGTTCTTCATAGAAAGTGAATCTTTTCTGAAGCTCTCACAAACTGTAATCATTTCTTTCTCACAGGTATGCTGGCTGGTTATGATTTTTAGGTCTCAGAGTAATAAACTTAACTTTAATATAATTATAGGATTTTAATAAGGAAAAGCTTTTTTAAAAATCTATTTCTAGAAATTTCTTTTTTCTAACATTTCTTTAATAGTAGTTTGATAGGGACCTGGGTAGCTCAGTCTGTTAAACGTCTGCCTTCAGCTCAGATCATGATCCTAGGGTCCTGGAATCAAGCCCCACATCTGGCTCCCTGCTCAGTGGGAAGTCTGCTTCTCTCTCTCTCTCTCTCTCTCTCTCTCTCTCTCTGATTCTCCCCTGGCTTGTGCACGTGCACGCGCTCTCTATCTCTCGCTTACTCTCTCAACTAAATAAATAAAATCATGTAAAAAAAAGTTTGATAGGGGTGCCTGGGTAGCTCAGTCAGTTAAGCATCTGCCTTTGGCTCAGGTCATGGTCCCAGGGTCCTGGGATCAAGTCCTGCACCAGGCTCCCTACTCAGCAGGAGAACTTGCTTCTCCCTCTCCCTCTGCTGCTCCCCCTGCTTGTCCACTCTCTCTCTCTCTCAAATAAATACATAAAATCTTTAAAAAACAAAACAAAGAGGTTGCGGAGAAAAGGGAACCCTCTTACACTGTTGGTGGGAATGTAAACTGGTGCAGCCACTCTGGAAAACTATGTGGAGGTTCCTCAAAGTGTTAAAAATAGACCTGCCCTACGACCCAGCAATTGCACTGTTGGGAATTTACCCCAAAGATACAGATGCAATGAAACGCCGGGACACCTGCACCCCAATGTTTATAGCAGCAATGTCCACAATAGCCAAGCTATGGAAGGAGCCTCGGTGTCCATTGAAAGATGAATGGATAAAGAAGATGTGGTTTATGTATACAATGGAATATTACTCAGCCATTAGAAATGACAAATACCCACCATTTGCTTCAACATGGATGGAACTGGAGGGTATTATGCTGAGTGAAGTAAGTCAATCGGAGAAGGACAAACATTATATGTTCTCATTCATTTGGGGAATATAAATAATAGTGAAAGGGAATATAAGGGAAGGGAGAAGAAATGTGTGGGAAATATCAGAAAGGGAGACAGAACAAAAAGACTCCTAACTCTGGGAAACGAACTAGGGGTGGTGGAAGGGGAGGAGGGTGGGGGTGGGGGTGAATGGGTGACGGGCACTGAGGGGGGCACTTGATGGGATGGGCACTGGGTGTTATTCTGTATGTTGGTAAATTGAACACCAATAAAAAATAAATTTATTGGGGGATCTCTGGGTGGCGCAGTGGTTTAGCGCCTGCCTTTGGCCCAGGGCGCGATCCTGGAGAGCTGGGATCGAATCCCACGTCGGGCTCCTGGTGCATGGAGCATGCTTCTCCCTCTGCCTGTGTCTCTGCCTCTCTCTCTCTCTCTCTCTGACTATCATAAATAAATAAAAATTAAAAAAATAAAAAATTAAAAAATTTATTAAAAAACAAAACAAAACAAAACAAAAAGTTCGATAAATGCTATGTAAATATTCAGCATTTTTTAAAAATTAGGGAATTAGCCATAGCAAAAATAGGACCTCACAGCCTTAAAATATTTTCTGTGAGGAAGAAAGCAGAGGACTGCTGATTCTTTTTGTTCCTTTTCTCAGACCTATTAAATTTTTTGGTAATTGCCCTACAAATAGTGGTTTTTTAAGAAATCTGTGAATTTAATATTTGAAACCAAATTATATTTTAAAAGAAGATAAAAATCACAAAAATGTAACAATATTTTTAAAGATTCATTAAAGAAAGTGTTTTATTTTTTTAATTATTTATTTATTTATTCATGATAGACATGGGGTGGGGCAGAGACACAGGCAGAGGGAGAAGTAGGCTCCATCTCAGGAGCCCGACGAGGGACCTGATCCCAGGACCCCAGGATTACTACTGGGCCAAAGGCAGGTGCTAAACTGCTGAACCATCCAGGGATCCCCAAAAAAGGGTTTTATATATATAAAATATTCTAAACTAGCTCATAATATAGTTTTTATTACTATGTCAAAGATTTAATTAAGCCTTTAATCTTCTTGTTTTAAGAAAAACACTAATATACCTATTGTGATTCTGAGTAAATTTTTTAAGAAATCAGTTGTGAAACACCATTTTACTTCATTGTATTCCTTTTAATAATCAGGCAAATAGGTAAAGAGAAAGGAAAAATTGATAACATTTGTTTTCATACATTATCAGTATACTTCTTTTCATCCTTTCTGTATGCTTTATTATTTAGCTAACAGAGCAAGTAAATAGGGATCTGCAACACCAAAATAAAATTGTCTTGCCTTATCAGAGAAACAAGTCATGGTCAAACATTTCTAAACTTCATTTACAAGTCAGTGGTACCATTTTGAAAATTAAATCATGATGTAAGGAACTTTTCCTTTCTGATGATCCCAATTTGTTAACTTTTAACCTTTCCTATGTTAAATTTGGATTTAACAAGTCATTTGCAATTAATTTGGAAATTCATAAATTCAGCTCCTTTAAAATGATCCTAGCCCATTTTTTAACATAACTTAAGCTCTCTAGCACCTTTCCAAGGGGGGCTCTTCTGTTCTTAGGCAGAGATCCCTCTTGACACACCAGATTCATCAGAACCTTAGGAGGAACACAGGAATTAGGTCTGAACAAGACACCCACCACCAACCACAATCTTACACAATACTGTATAATAGAACCTGCTGCCTATGATAGGGTTATGAATAGATCACTACGAAAACACAAAAGGAGGGCATCTTAACTTCCTAGCAATGATACTATTTTATACTGAATCATGTAATAGTCTGTTATCTATTTCTCTGCCCCAGTAAATATTTGTCTATTCTGTTTACTGTATCCCAAACAGTGCAGTGCCTTTGGTACTTAATAAATGTCTGTTGGGTAAATCAAAGAATGGTGTCCCTAGTAGGAAGTTATTAGATATGCATAAAAGTAAAAAAAAAATCAAGAAACAACACAAGAAAGGTATTTAGAAACATGGAAAGAAACATCAAAATAGTGAACTAAAAGAGATAGGGCAGGGCAGCCCGGGTGGCGCAGCGGTTTGGCGCCGCCTGCAGCCTGGGGTGTGATCCTGGAGACCCAGGATCGAGTCCCACATCGGGCTTCCTGCGTGGAGCCTGCTTCTCCCTCTGCCTGTGTCTCTGCCTCTCTCTGTGTCTATGAATAAATAAATAAAATCTTTAAAAATAAATAAATAAATAAATAAACAAATAAATAAACAAACAAACAAATAAATAAT